CACTACTACTACTATTATTATTACTACTACTACTACTACTACTACTACTACTACTACTACTACTACTACTACTACTACTACTACTACTACTACTACTACTACTACTACTACTACTACTAATGGGAACATCTTTTATTTTTCACCATAAAAAACAGAAAACGATAAAAATATATATATATATATGTATATATATATATATATATATATATATATATAGATAAATATATATATATAATGAAAAATTTTTAAAAATTGTATAAAATAATATTAAAGGTTAAGACCATTTTGCTCATTGTGAAGTTAAGTGCAGAACGGTGAAATATATTTAATTAGCATCATAGCTTGTTCCTGTCACAGTAAATGTCATACGATAATCTTATAACAGTGTTTATCAATTTATCATTAAATGATAGCGGCCATGGAACTTTAAACAGTGACAAATTAAAATTATTGTAAAAACCAATAGGCGTTATTTCGAATGAGTTTATAACTATTAAACAATGTTCATAGTCTTTATTTAAACAACAATGCAAATTATTAGAGTATTTATTTCTCTTGTATTGCCTGAAGGATTCTAGATTGGTTTCATGGCACACAGTTAATTCTAGAATCTCAATTTTGTTATTTTGAAGTATGGCGATATCGGGTCGTAAAGTGTTGAATAATTGAGATATTGGGCGAATACCCTCAGACTCTAAATCTGCAAATATGCGGCAATTGGCTGGAGCGGATATTTTCAGTCAATTGATGATCACGGCCAATATCTTGTTGTGTCTTTCGGTATATCTTGCCGGAGCGGATGTAGAACCACAATTGGAAACTACGTGCTTATTTGTCTGTCGAGAATCACAGAGAGGGCATTGAGGGCTTTGCGTTTTACCCCATCTAAACAAATTTGCATTACTAGGCAACTGCAGGACTAAATACTTACTAGCAAATTTGTAGAGGACTCCGGCAAGATTTTCCGTGGACTTTGACCAACGGGATATGTTGTTGGCTTTGATGAAATTTTTTATATTTAAAATTAGTGAACCTTGACTCTGCAGCGAGAAAACATGATTTAAGCTACATTCAATTCTTTTTTCTTTTTTTAATAATAATAATAATAATAATAACTATGAATAACATCAATAATAATAATAATGGTATTATAATTTAACGATATAAATAACAGTGTTAAAAAATAGTTCAACAATTAATTCAACGTTAATTAATTACTAAAAATCATCTCTATTAACCTGTTGGTAGTAATGTTGTTGTCTAGACCTGATTGAATTTCTGTGGTGTCTGTTGTTGTTGTTGTTCATTACATTGTTGTTGTTGTGCTGGTGGTCGTTTTTATTGTGGAGTTTGTCTGGTTTTTGGCGCTGTTGTCTGGCGCAATTTGTCGGCGGTAAGATGATGGCGATGATGAGGAAGATGATGACAATAAATATGGTGAAAATATGGGTAGGGATATAATTCGACATGATGGTGATGATGATGATATTGTTTAGAAGATGGTAATGGTGAGGAGTTGCACAAGTACGTTGTTATTGAGGCAAATTTTGTGATAGAGTATGTGACACAGTTATTGTTTATGTCTGTTAAACATTGATGTTTCAACTGTTGTTTGTACTGTTGTTTATATTTGTTAAACAACAATAATGTTTATTGTTTTGTTCGTTGTTGTTTATGCTGAATATGTTGTCTATTTAGTTGCGTTTGACAGAAGTTTATGTTGACGAGTTTTCTGTAATGAAAGGTTTTTGATGTTGTTTTGGATACTGTCAACGTTACAGCCTCGTTTGGTATCTGTTAAAATTTAATAATAATAATAATAATAATAATACAATGTCAAATATGTTAATACAAGGTCAGATATGTTAATACAAGGTCAAATATGTTAAAGCAGAGTTAAAAAGTAATATTAATATCGGTAAATTTGAAGATTGAATTTGAAAACGACGATGATGACAATATTATCGTTTCAAATTAAATTAATCATCATAATAACGTCAGTATTAAAATATAATAATAAATTTAATATAGTTTTAATAAAAATATTATTAATAATTTTGTTTCTTATAAATAGTTTTTTCTTAGTTAATTACCAGATATATCAACAACAACAACAACACACGCACAGAGCATGTAAAAATCACGCATGACATCATGCTCTTTGCCATGGCAAGAACCAGCGCTTCAACTAAAAGAACCATCTCGCTAGGTTCGCTAAATATTAATGCTGAATATTTATGTTGAATTTAAAATGATTGTCCGTGATACTAATATGTGACATTAAACATATTCATAGTAACATATATTATTACTGCAAGTCTCCATTGTTATTATTACTATTATTATTATTACTACTGATATTATGATTATTGTTATTATTAAAATTATTATTATTCCTCATCGTCGCCACATGAGGTTATATAATACCACTATCACAGGACAGCATATTGTCAAACATACAATACAATAAAGTTAGTATGTTTGTGTATGTATATGTTTCGCTTTGTTTGTTTTCTTACATACATGTGATACGTTATTTGATAATGCTTTGTATGTCTGTATGTCTGGAAGTTTGTATTTGATGGTATAAGTTTCTAAGTTTGTATAATTTGTTAATAATGTTTATATGTTTGTGTATGTTTGGAAATATTTGTGTGTTAAGTATGTAAGCATGTTTATATGTGTATTTAGAGTTGTATATATATATATATATATATATAATATATATATATGTTTGTATGTGTATGTGTATCTATGCCTATGTATGTTTAAATTCGTATGTTTTTATAGACTAACATTTTTAACAGTATCGTTTTTTGATGTTTGTTTTTAAAGTCTTTTTTATATGCCTGAGTGTATCTATTTGTTTCCTTAAGAGTCATTTAACACTCCTTGGCAAAAATGCTCTCTTGAAACAGTAGAATTAGTAATAGTAATAATACTGCATCCTTCAGTGGTTACTACTCTATATTTTGTTAATAGTAATAATTTTCATAGTTTACATATGTAGTAATAGCGTAAACTAGACTGTGCTGACGAGATGTTTTCAAACAGCCACTGGCGTCAACAACCGCAACGTTCACATCCGCTCGCGTTCCGGACATTTTTAATCCGGATCCAACCGTATATCTACATCCGCGTTAGAAATATGTTATTAGCGATATTAGCTTCGGGTAGGAAATTAGAGGAGAGGCCGGCTGTGGGGCAGTTTGTTTAAATATTTGCACTATAAAAAGAACAAAACGATAAAATTTGACATTTTCAAAAAAACTTAACTGCTTCATAATATAACATATTCAAATTTTGTTGAATAATTTTATAGATGATCAAAAGAAAAAAAAATTTTGTTGTGAAAAATTTCATTCATTTTTAAAATTTTACAGTGCGGGCGGTTTGACTGAATTATTTGAAACCGCATCCGTGGCAGACCGCAAAAAAATTCGCAAACCGCAACATCAGCAGAGTTTCATGAACTTGTTGTTATCAACCGCTGATGTGGTGCGGTTACTGAGGTCTGAAGCTGTGTTGTGGTCATCCGCAACGCAGCTTCAGTGTAAACATTTATTTAATGTATTGTTAATAATTTTATTGTCTCATAAATTTTAAATTAATGTTTGCTTGTAGGTGAGTTTGTGTAATAAATAGCATTTTATTTCCCATTTATATGTGCATGTTTATCTATGTTTGTTTGTTTGCGTATATTTTGTTAGTATATATGCGTGTAAATATTTGTGCATGTAGATGTGCGTATGTATGTGTTTATTTACGTTGTATATGACGAATGTAATGGTAATAATTCTGAGTTGGCATTTGTCATAGCGAGATTTAATAAAATTCAGAAATGAGATTACAAATGAATGAATGAAAACATGCTTATCAATAATTCACATTTATGAGTTTCAAATTCAACATCTGTCTGTCCGTTTGTGTGCACATGTTCATAACTGTGTGTCTGCGTGCATGTGTCTATATATACGTGCGTTTTGTCTAAGTACCTTTTTATATGCTTATGTATATCTATGTGTTTTCATGTATGTGCGGGTGTTCAACCATTTGTGGGCGTTCGTGTGGCGAGTAAGCCTGTGTGGTGTGTATGTTGTGTTTGTGTATCAACATGTGTGTGTGTTTGTGTATCAGTGTGGTGCATGTTTCTGTTGTCTATTTATTATTCAAACATCGATGCATCTTCTTGTCTACCTGATATAAATTTGTATTTAAATAAAAACAGAAAGTTACTTTACCAATATAAACGCACTTAATTTAATCGGTCAGTATATGCGTGTTAGTATGTCTGAGTGTGCGCGTGCGTGTGTGCGTGTGTGTACGTGTGTGTGTGTACCTGTGTGTGTTCTGCAAAAAAAGTTACAATACATAATTTTTTAATTAGAGTAGATTACATTGGTTTAGGAAAGTTAAATTTTTTTATTAAAAAACAAAAGAAAAGGAAAAAGAAGAATAAGAAAAAGAAGAAAAAGAAGAAAAAGAAGAAGAAGAAAAAAAAGAAAAAAAACTATACGATGATGATGGTGTTAGTGTGGTAGTTGGGGTAATTTATTACATATCTAATCAATCTATTTCAGTGTTATATTTTAAGGGCTGTTCGTTAAGAATGTCACCCTTTGAATGGAGGGGGGATGGAGTCAAAAAATTTGTGGCAGTTTGGGGAAAACGCTAGAAAGCGTGGGCACGGACAGTTCGTTTATAGTTAGTATTTGTGTTGGAAAGCAAACTAACGTGTAAATAAAACACGAATGGTTGATTAATTTTTAAATAAACTAATTTATTGATCGAATGGTAGATTGAATTTAAGGGTTAGAAATAATCACTCGTCGTGAATGCATGCAACGAAATGAAAGTGAAAATAAATTACTTACGTTGGTTCGTTTAACAGACTGCAAATAAATAGTTAACCAACAAAAAATTAACAAATTTTTTGGTAAATTATTTTAAAAAATCATACTCAAACTTCAACAAAAAGAATTTTCTTGCCTTTTTTAAAA